TTCCTAAATCGATTATATACGATATAATACTTTAGTAGTTTGTTTCATCACGCATAAACTCCGATGATCGATGAACAATACACAACACGAGTAGAGTAGAATAGAAAGAACGCGTGAAATTTCCGTTCGCGGCGGAAATTTTCTTTATCCATGCTAATCGAGCGAGGAAAGTTAGTTTCATAGGATCTACTAACTTTCCTTTCAATGAAGTTGTACTTTACTTTACTCTTCTTTTAAAAGAAAGATATTATAAAATACGCTGTAAAAAAAAAAATGAGAGACGGTTAATCGCAAAAATATTGCACTATCGTCGGATGCTGTATGGGAAATAGTATGCACTGCACAGCCGCAATTATGCGTAAAAGGATACGAGAAGGACTGTGGAAACCAACTTGTCGCGATTTTCTCGATGCACTTAGGCGTGATTGCTAGGTACTGACTTGCAAAGGTGGCCCGGCGAGGGCTGACAAGATTTATGGTTTGCCCTTGAGAGTGTTCTTCCCGAAGAGATCCAATCGCCTAGACAGCCGGTAGAATTAATGCCGTTGTCGCGTACATAGGACACGGGTTTACGCTGTTGTAAAAAAACGTAGGAGGCCAGAAACAACGGAAAATTCGCGTTATCAAGAACTTATTATAATTTTCACAATCGTTGTACCAGAAGTTTTTTTTTATTGTTACAGAGATAATCAAAAATATCAAGATTATAGATATTCTTGATGATAATAATACTGCTTGTCGGGCGAGAATGATTTATTTATTGAATGATTAATTCAATTAACAGCTGAATTCGAAACACGAAACCTCAACTTCGGTAATTCCTGGTTTTTGTACGTGATTAAGTTCGACAATTAGACCTAATCCTAGCTAATCCATTTAGAACAAGTATCCCTGCTAACGAACGAAACATTCGCATCGATCGAATCGTTCGCATCACTCTTAACCTCTTTGCGCTGGAATGACGTGCCACGCACATCGAGAATTCTTTTGTCACAAATTGCAACATTTTCTCAGCCTCGAGTATATTTAAATGTAACCCAGACGAAACGAATGACAAGTTTGTTACTTCTTAATAGATATCATACGGACGAGTCCAAAAGAAAGAGAAAGCGACGAATTATTTTACACGGCCACTCGTTATGGTCCGCAAACCCAGTTGCCAGCGCTAAGGGGTTAATAGTTCGAACGCATCGATAATTTATTATTACACGAGATTTGTATCTTTCGAGCGTCATGATATTGACGCACGTTTTATTTCGACAAAATAGCGTTCGTCGTATAAGTAATATAGTCAGAATCATAAATTCGAAGAATATACCTCAAATAGAGATTGTAAAGATACAATATAAATAATTCATGAGAATTTGATGAAACTTTTTATGACCAATTTCAATTATACTTATACGAAATATCACGCGAAACGTAAAACACGTAACGTTAGGAACGTACGAAACGTCAGGAATGAAATAAGAATAGTAGTAGAGATAAAGTTGAGCTGTAGGTGGGAAATGGCGGTCGAACAAATTAAAAAAACTGGGAGATTTTCCGCGTAATTCGTTGATTCGAGACCTTTCTCGTCCAAGGTCGTAGATCGCAGCGGTCACCGTTATAGCTACTATTCTTTTCGTCTCTCCTCCCTCTCCCTTTTCCTCTCTCTTTCTCAAGCTGCTGGACGAAGAGCTCGGAGAGGGGGGAGTCAATACACTTGCAGGGATCCACGAGTAGGGTAGGACCGGGAGGGGAAACGTGGCGTGGCGTGGCGTGGCATGACGCGGCGCGGCGCAGCGCGGCTCTACTCGATTCGACTCGACTCGACTCGACTCGACTCGACTCGACTCGACTCGACTCGATTCGACTCGACTCGACTCGGTGTGACCCCTGAACGACGTTCATCGATCGGGGTGCACGCACTCTACCTCCGGCATCGCGCTCTTCTATCTTGCCTCCTCGTCTCCTGCCCCTTTCCCTTCCATTTCGCATTCACCTTCTTCCTTTCTCCCTTCCCCTTTTCTCTATCCTCTCCTCGCCGTTTTCGATTTACAATTTCCTATTGTTATGTATCTACTTTGACACACCTCTGACACGAGATTTCTCTCTCTTCGTTCTTAATTCTCGTACGATCGCTGAAGGAACTTAACGTTCGAAAAAATATTCGAGTAATCGATCGTTTGATCAATGTTTCAACGACCGGTCACGCCAATTGGCGCCGTAATTAACGGCAACCTTATCGATCCGCCATGCCAATTACGATCCTATTTGAAATAATCGCATTACGACGTGTAACCGTTGAAAGCGATTTGACTTTCTCACGCGAGAAGTTTTTCCCCATTTTTCTGAAAATGTTCCAAGTGCTGAAAGTGGTAACAACGTTACTCGTAGAGAAAGAAGATGATGAAATTTATTCTTTGGACTTAGGTATATCGCTACGTATATATATATATGTGCTATTTTTACGTCGACGTTCGTAATGAGGGTACTTACAAGTGATCGTTAAATTATACGAGTGAATGTTTCGCTTAACCTCTTGCGCTGGAATGACGTGTCACGCAGAATTTTTTGTCCCAAAAATTGCAATATTTTCTCAGTTTTAAAGTATATTTAAATGTAACCCAGGCGAAACAAATGACAAGTTTATTACTTCTTAATCATTTCTATCCAGTGACATCGTACCGACGAGTTCGAAAGAAAAAAGAAAGCGACGAATTATTGTATACGGTTCGGTCGCTCGTTATGGTCCGCAATCAATTGCCAGCGCAAGCAGTTGACCTCTTGCGCTGGAATGACGTGCCACGCACGTCGAGAATTTTTTTGTACCAAATTACCACATTTCCTCAGTTTTAAGCATATTTAAATATATACCGAGGCAAAACAAATGACAAGTTACTATTACTTTTTAATAATTTCTATCCAGTGATATCGTGCCAACGAGTTCAGAAGAAAAAAGAAAGCGACGAATTAGTGTATACGGTTCGGTCGCTCGTTATGGTCCGCAATCAATTGCCAGCGCAAGGGGTTAACAGTAAATTAGATCATAATTTCATATACAGATTTAGTATTTGATTTCCAAGACTGTCTCGTGATGTAACCTCGTATTGAAACGTATCTACCGGATGTTTCGCAATCAAAATGAAGATAACTATATTTCTTCATCGTTCTCAAAAACACGCGTCTTTTGATACTCGCCATGTTGAACGTGTAGCTTCCAGCGACCTCCAGTCCGCAAGTGCTTCCCTTAGGAGCATTCACCTTTTATCTTGGGACTTGATCAAAATTCCTGCACGAAGGTACCGCGTACCAGAGAGAAGAGTAGCTAGCTCGACTTCAGAAGTGTTTCCTGAAGCGGCGAGACGCTCTTTGTTTCCATCCATTCGGTTATTCGCGCATTTTGCCTTCTTCTTTTCTTTCTTCTGTTTTCGCTTCTCCGCCCATCCTCGGCTTTCTCCGCGTTTCTCGTTCGCTGTCGTTCTTTTCTCTTTTACCCGCTACCTCTGCCAGTTCTCTTCTGTCGTGCATCTATGTACATATATATATATATATTCCACCCGTACGCGTCGTTGCGTAGAACATTGTAAACTCACTCGCGCTAACTAGAAGAGACACGATAACCTTCGCATTCGTGACCTTGGACTCGCAGGCTACTGACCCTTTCCCTTTTGCTCTTCCTCCTACCAGCCAACAAAACGAGACCGTGCAATCGAATTTAATTAGGGGAACGACTCCTTTTCGCGATGAACGTTTACGAATCACGTAGAAAAAGAAAGGGGGGCAGGTTGAAATTGATCCAACGTTCAGACAAAAATAGCATCCGACATATAGCATCGTGGGTGAACAATGAATAACAGTGACTCTGGTGATCAGCGTGCTTTCGATTATGGATCGTGTCGAACAATTGCTATGCCAGCGAAAATCATTCCAGCAAACATTTCATATAAAATTGATCTTTTGTAATGAAACAGTCAGTTTCCATTATTCTTGGGAGATGAGTTTTGAAATATTTTCTTTATTTTCATTAAACACTACGTCAAACGTTTCTCCTCAATTCTGAGGGAGATGATTTTATTTATTTTAGTAGAAGCGATTTTCGCATTTGATTTAAACGCATTGAATTTAAATAATAAAATTTCGCTTCCCATAAGCAGATTGCAAAGAAAAATTATTTTAACAACAAGTACATCAATTAAGAAATCCATTTTTGCATTCTTACATATTTAATGTTTTTCATCATTTATTTAAAAAAAATTCGCAAGAAATTTTCGTCAAATTGACGAGTATAGTGGAATTTGATATATTTGATACTCAACTCCGGTAGTTCGAATCTTAATTTGTAGATAAATACATATTTCATTTATTCAATCAAACATATTTACAAATATAGACTTGGCACTTTTACTCAAACTTATTTATCTATAAATTAAGATTTCGTTATTTCATTCTCGAATTCAGTGGAAACTAATTTACGTTGTGTGTATCTCATACATTGACCTTAAATTTAAATCACCGTGTGACCGATTTTGACTACGAGTCACTATATATGTAGAAAGTTCAAAATGTCTTTTATAACATATATTCAAAAATCATCAAAAGCGATGAAATAGACCGTCATCCGTAATTAACATTGTCCAATAATTTTTCTATTACGGTTATTCCAGTTGTCAGATGTTTGCGAAAACATATTTAATTTCGTACCATTTAATTTCGTTGAATAAATGAAATTAAGATTTAATTATCGTTCCTATCTGAGTAAATAAAGTAGCACGTAATTCAGTCGTCGTATAGAGTAACTTCATCATACTCAGTCAATGATCAAACATTTAGTCAATAGATAGGATTTTGTTTTCATGCAGTTTACGAAAGCTGAGACATTACCAACAACACCATGTACATACATCAACACACACGTGTCGAATAAAGAATTATTACATTCGAAATAATTTGCCTCGACAACTACAATAATAATACATTTGCAAATAAGTTCATAAATATTTCGATAGAGTGGCTAAAGAAAGTGATTGATTTTTGCCAACAGGGATGCCGGTTGACTGAAGATGGCCTCGCCAACACTCTCGCTGGAATCGCGCGCGAATTCCATCGGATCCCTGGCCTCGCTGTCCCCGCTTACAGTGAGCGGCAGTTCCCCGCCTGCGAGCGACTCGGCGATCTGCGACGTCGACAGCTGTGACCTTTGCCTCGACTTGCAAAAACTTGGAGAAGCACCCTGCCCGCGGTGCCGTTTAGGAGTCGTCATTGGAGTCCGTTGTACCGGTTGCAAATCAACCGAATCCGACGCTGTAGCTCGTTGCTTCGACTGTGCGAATTTCCTCTGTCCGAACTGCGTGATGGCGCACCAATTCATGCACTGCTTCGAGGGCCATCGCGTCCTAAATTTGGGCGACTCGAAACTCGAAACGGTCACCACCACCAGCACCGCCAATAACGAAATCCCAAAGAACAATCTCGTGATCAGCAACGCGAACACCAACAGCGACAAAGTACCATTATGTCCACGACACAAACAGGAGTTGCTGAAGTATTTCTGTCGCACTTGCACGGCGCTGGTTTGCAAAGAGTGCGGCATCGCCGATCATCCGGGCCCGTTGCACGAATGCGCGCACATCTCCGAGATAGGAACGCAGCAACTGGAAGCGATGGGGCGAGTGGTTCAAGAGTGCAGATCGAAAGCCGCGGACGTGAAAACCGCGGTGAAGGCGGCCGATCACGGCGCGGCGCGGCTACAAGTACAATACCAGAAAGCGCAGAACGAGATCAACGATACCTTTCAATTTTATCGATCCATGCTCGAGGAGCGTAAGCAGGAGCTGTTGAAGGAGCTCGAGTCAGTCTTCTCCACCAAGCAAATAGCCCTGACCGTTTTAACGCAAAAGGCCAACGAGATGGCGGACAAGATGCTTCAGACCTGCGAATTCGTCGAACGACTGACCAAGTACACTACCATCACCGAGGTGCTGATGGTAAAGAAGCTTCTCGACTCGAAGCTCCAAATATTGCTGAATTACACGCCGGACTTCGGCGGCCACGTCGCCGATCTCGAGTTCGTCAGCAACTATCAGGCGATTCAAGTGGGCGTGCGAAACACGTTCGGCTACGTTCGAAGCAACAACGAGAACAACGCGGGTCCGATCGGTAAGCAACCGCCCATCGCTCGGCCAACGACACTGTCGTCGAACAACGGTAACGGGGGCAGCAACGCCAACAATGGGCCAGGCAGCGCCGGATCCTTGGGAGGTCTTTTATTGGACCGACCCTACAGCAACGGCCTGATGTCGTCGGGGTCTTCGACCTGCACCGCGTCCTCGTCGCCGTCGTCGTTCGAGAGCAGCAGCACTGTCATTACCAAGCGTTTCAGTTCGGCCAACAGTCTCGGCCCGTTCTCAACGACCATCAGCGATTTGAATTTGAACGGTATAAACGCGAACCCGTACGAGAAATGGAGCAACGGGGGCAACGACGCCTATCCGGTGGTTACCACGAACGATCACTTCCCGATGCCAGCGTCCGTCGCTGTCGCAGCGAACGCCGCGACCACCGATTCCGTTCTCGACCTGACATCGAAGCTCATGTCCGCGGCGGTGATATTCCCGCCCAAGTCGCAGATCAAGCGACAGAAGATGATCTATCATTGCAAGTTCGGCGAGTTCGGCGTGATGGAGGGCCAGTTCACCGAGCCGTCGGGAGTGGCGGTGAACGCGCAGAACGACATCATCGTCGCCGACACGAACAACCATCGGATTCAGATATTCGACAAGGAGGGCCGATTTAAATTCCAATTCGGCGAGTGCGGCAAACGGGACGGCCAGTTACTCTATCCGAATCGCGTGGCCGTTGTGAAGACGTCCGGCGACATAATCGTCACGGAACGTTCGCCGACCCATCAAATACAGATATACAACCAGTACGGCCAATTCGTGCGTAAATTCGGTGCGAACATCCTTCAACATCCGCGCGGCGTAACGGTGGACTCGAAGGGGCGCATCGTCGTCGTCGAGTGCAAAGTGATGCGCGTGATCATCTTCGATCAGGCGGGCATCGTTCTGCAGAAGTTCGGATGCTCGAAGCACCTCGAGTTTCCAAACGGTGTTGTCGTGAACGACAAACAGGAGATCTTCATCAGCGACAATCGCGCCCATTGCGTGAAGGTGTTCAATTACGAGGGCACCTACCTCCGTCAGATCGGCGGCGAAGGGGTCACGAACTACCCGATCGGGGTAGGGATCAACGCCGTTGGCGAGATACTGATAGCAGACAATCACAATAATTTCAATCTGACGATCTTCACCCAAGACGGCCAACTGGTTTCAGCTCTCGAGAGCAAGGTCAAGCACGCCCAGTGTTTCGACGTCGCTTTAATGGACGACGGGTCGGTCGTGCTGGCCAGCAAAGATTACAGGCTCTACATTTATCGTTACGTGCAAGTACCGCCGATCGGCATGTAGAGCAACGACAAGTCGCGACGCCGACAACGATCGTCCATCGTCGTTTTCATCGTTGTCGTTGTCGTCGTTGTTATTGTCGTAGCCGTTGCCGTTGCCGTTGCCGTTGCCGTTGCCGTTGCCATCGTCACTGTTCCGACGGCCGCGAAACCAGGATCTCATACATCTTTTTTTTATTTATACTTGCCTATCTTCTTCTTCGTCCACTTATCATCACCACCGCTCGTGCTCACTTTACCTATTCATCTTCGCCCGGTTCCACCTCACTTCCGTTTTACGAAATACGACCGATCGCCAGGCGAAACAACAAAATGCAAGCGTACGCGAGCGAAAACGCGACAGCTGTCGGAGTCCAGGATGACAGCCCTTGTTTGTACGAACATACAGACGCGCGTACGCGCGTGCTTACGTGCCACATTCGAGAACGAACGTCTGCCACGCGGGTACGCGCGTTAGCGCTCCGACGATCCTCTGAATCCATCCCGAGAATTATTCGAAGGGGACATGGAGAAACAGAAAGGAAAGACGAACAGAAGACGAAAAATAAAAAAAGAAACAAAAGACGGAATGTGAATTATGAAAAATAGAGAAGCAACGACGGGAATAATCAAGACGCTGAAGGCAAATGAAAAAAAAAAAAAAAAATGGCGCTTTGCGACACGCGCCCGCGTGCGCAAATCTCACTCCGTAAGCGCGTACGCACGCGTGATATTTTGCCAAATGATCGTACGAAAAGGGAAAGAAAAAACGCAGACGAGTTTGGAAACGCATCCCCCCCATTTTGTTGCGTGCGCAATGTGTACACTACACGCGCACGCGTGAAAAACGGAAGTTACAAGAGACGCGTAAGCGCATTCACACAAGAAAAACACTTACTTGTTAATGTTGTTATAACTGAAAATGCTGTTGTTGTTGTTTAGTTGTAGAGCTCGCCGCCGCTAGTCACTCCATCCCTCATTCCTCCTCCACACACTCCCGTATTATCCTCCCCCGTTTCGTCGCACCTGCTCCTCATTCCGCCTCCCCCCTCCTACCCGGTTTCCTCCTTGTTCGTTCCTTCTTATTCGTTATATCTTCCTTTTTTCACGAAGAATGTAGCATCCTCGTTCTCCTTTTTCGTCACCCTCTCGATCGAAAAAAAAAAACTGCGAGGAGCGTTTTTCCAAACACCTCGGATGTACCTGCATGTATTTTTTCCTGGGTCGTGCAAATGAACGCGTACCTGTCCGATATCCGGTACGCTTCTTTTTTTTAAAACTCTTGATTCTTCCGACTTAACCTCGAAGCTGACTAAAAATCGGCTTGATCGTGCATCGACTCGCCGTTCGAGCATCGAACGACATCTTACGAAACAACGAGGCCAGGATTTGCCTCCGTTGTCAAACACGTAAGATTTGACGCTGTCGCGCTGTGTCTGTCTTGACTTGAATATTGAACGAAGAACGTAGAAACAAGTATAATAACGATAATAATGAAAATATTTTATGTAATTTTTAATTCGTACAGTATTAATCGCATTTTGTTGGACGAACAGACGATGACGGGAACTGTGAGCCAAGTTCCCCTCTCCACCATGACCATGCATGTTTGAAATATTTTTTATTATCATTGTTATTGTACCACGCTCTTCATTCAATATCAAGCCCATCCTTTTTTTTTTTTTTTTTTTTTTTTTCGTAAGATGTCGCTCGAGTGTAACGAGGTTAGCTGGCGTTCCTCGGTGTCGAAAAGTACAAAACCATGAATTAGAAGGATCTTCCGAGACGTTGTGAGTTTCTTTCTTCTCTTTTTTTCCTTTTTTTTTTTCTTTTTAAATATTTGATTAGTAGTTGTTTATTTAAGTGATTCGACTAGATTGCCCGAAAGTCGTGGAAAGTCTGTGGGAAGCCGGTCCGCAATTTTCGGGACCGTCGACACAAGTGATAGTTCTTTTTTAATTTTTAAATCGAGGACATTGTTAAATCAGTGATTTCATCGACAGTTTGACAGTTCGTGTTGTTGTTATATTTTTCGACTCCTTCATTTTATACACATTTTTATATGCATAGTTGATTTTTTTCCCCCCCTCCCTCCCTTTAGTTTTGAATACCAATCTCTTCGCCTAATTACTCGCTCGTTGGATTAGTTACAAAATTCGTTGGATGATAGTTCGTTGTGTGTGATCAACGAAGAAATATATATATATATACGAGTTCACAATCATCTAGGTCATTAATTGGCGAATTTCCCCCTCCCTTTTTTTTTATCTCTTTATTTAAATTATTGGTGTTGAAATGAACTGTACCTTGGTACTTCATGTTTAAAATTATTTCGTGATTGTTAATGAGATTTTGTGCTGTGACATAGGCTGTATTGTTACAAACAGTTGAAACGGTTTCAAATTTTTCTTTTCTTTCTCCGTTTTTTTTTTCTTTCTTTCTTTTTTTTTTTTTTTTGTACATTGTTTTTCGTAGCTTATCTGTAGTAGAATTGCATGGGATTGCAAAAGAAAATGATGATCAACGATAAGCTTTTCTTCTTATCCGAGAGAAGGAAAGTTGATAGGTGATAAGTAAAATTATTAGGAGATCCTTGATAATTCGTTGTTGTTCGAATCGAGGTGTTCGTATTTGTCAACATCTTTTGACGCCAGTTGTAAAGCGATGGCCGTTCTTCCGGTTGAATCGTGCATTTTATTTAATTTGTCTCTCTTACTCGCGTAAAGTAATATTTCGTGGTTCCTTCCGGAGACTTTGAATCGATGGAACGAGACGCTTGTTGAATCAGTTGCAGATTTCCCCTTTTTTTTCACAATTGAAGGACAACGATCGATCAACTCGACCGGTTGTTCAAACAGTTACGATTGGACTCTACATAGATTAGCTGTCGTCTTCTACATTTGCAGTATTCTAGCCAATTTTTAAGTATGCAAAAAAAAACATACGAAAGCAGATCAAATTAGGAGAAGCATAAAAGAGAACTGACGAATGGAAATAACTCGCCGAAATACGTTAGGGATTTTCACGTTATTCCATTGAATACTTCACTGCCAAAAAAATTGTGGAGATTTTTCTTTTTTTCACTTGGTCGTTTGATCCAATATTGCTTCTTAGTTTTTTCTCGCCGTGTTTCTTCGTTTTACTTCCTCTTTCGCTGGGAAACGAGAAAGATCAAACAACGTTGTAACGTTGGACGAAGAAGTTTGTGTCTAATGTTACAACCTCTTCGATTTTTCTCATACTATTATTATTTTATTATTATTACTATTATTATTATTATTATTATTATTACTATTATTATTACTATAATTATTATTATTATTTTTATTATTATTACTATAATTATTATTATTATTTTTATTATTATTACTATAATTATAATTATTTTTATTACTATTACTATAATTATTATTATTATTATTATTACTGCTACTATTATTATTACTATTACTATTATTATCATTAGTACTGGTATTATTAACTATTATATCATTAATATTACTTTGTTTACTACCATTGTATGTTTGTGAAAAAAAAAAAAATGGAAGTTGAAACGAGACGATACCACCTTGCCAGCTAGCCATTACTACCATTGTTTCTGTCAGTCTTAGTTTTTTCTTTTTTTTTTTTCTTTTTTTTTTTTTCCAAGAAATACGAACGAAATATGGTTATATACTTTGACACGCATTATTCCCAAAGTAAGAAGATGTATGTATGTGTGTTTGAGTGTTTTTCGTATACGCGCGGTCTTTGCATCCAAAAGAATTGGATAACGAAACGCACGAAGAAACAGACATGCGAGTCTCTTCTTCATATTTCTTTTTTTTTTTTTGTACTGGTTTATGTTATTTTTATTTTTTTTTTTTAGACAAATCAATTGTTCTAATTTAAGTGTAAATCGTATTTTTGTTTGTTTTTTTAGTTATTTTTTGTTGTAAAATGCTTTTTAATAATATTTTCAGTTCACATTACACAATAGCAGTCAGTTTTTTTTTTTTTTTGGTCTCACTTTATGTTTTTTCTTTTCACTTTTCCCATAGTATCTCTCTTTGTTCTCGAATAAACTGTCTTTCTTCCTCCACTTTTTTTTTTTTTCCCCCATTGAAGCTTGATCGATCGAATCCAAGAACGAAGCGCACGTTGTACCTCGTACAATTTAACGAAACATTGATCAAATTTTTTACAATTTCTCTCGACCAAATTTCAAATTACACTGTTATCTATTGACCGATATATAATCGAACTGCTACTTGGTTATTTGTTAAATACACTGATTATATTTTTGTACAAATACAGTATTTGTCAAATGAAAATGCAAGGCAATTTTCACATTATTTTTTATCCCTCACCTTTTCATTTAATACTAGTTACGTTTAAAAAAAAAAAAAAAAAAAAGGGAAAAGAAACATACCGAAGCAATTCCAACGTTTTGCATCGAAACACGAAACGTTGTTACACATTGCAATGTACATAACTCAAAGAGAAATTCGATTCGATCATAAAAACTATTCTGTTATGTTATAGTTATTCTCTTCTTTTGCTTTCTGTACAGCAAGTCTTTCTCTACTCTAAAAAAAAAAAGGAGGTAGTAGCTTTAGTAGAAACATTCCATCTTAGCAAATTAGTCAACAAGTATATTTTACGATTCATAATAGTTTCTCATATCTTTTTGAAATATATCTTCGTTACAAAATTCAATTCCACAGCTGGATTGCGATACTATTCACTTCGATCGTCCAGTTTCGCAAGCTCCTCGAGCCAAGTCGAGAGCTTTCTAAATATTGCCAAAGAAGTTGGAAGATTGAAACACATAGCTCGACAGACTCGCAGATTTGGTCGCAATAAAGAATGGACCGGAAATGAGGCGTTACCACGTACTGGGAAGATCAAGCGAGAATTATTTGTAACGAAGACCATTGCTTGTAGCATGTATATATTTTACTTATTAGTAACAGATGTGTGGTTTTTTTTTTTTCTTTTCCATTATATATTTTCTTTTGCACGATTGAATTGTAGACGATCCTCGCGCGTGATTGAACAGTAATTTCTGTTTTTATTTTTTTTTTTTTTCATAATTGACAGAGCAAACTGAATCCAAATTTGAAAGGCTAATAATATCCATTTGCAATTAGTTATTGCAACTTCTGACATCATCGGTACAGATACAATTTCGTAATTGCAGCTGCAAAGCAATAATCACGACACGATACTTGAGCAGACGCACCAAAGGCTAAACTGAATTGTAAACTTCTAATTCATCGAATTGAACAACGTTTCACACAGTCTGCCATTTGCAGATACTGTTGCATAGTTGACCATACAGCCATTGTATTGGCAATTCGGGCTTTGTGCAAAATTTTCAATATTGCTTGCAACTCTCTTTGTCACAGCGGATATTAGTGAAATTAAATAACACGCAGCGCAGCTCGCTATTGACGATAAAATGTTCACGTCATTGATGAAACTTCACATCGCGTACGAAATTTAATTTGCATTTGCAATTCGCACGGTCTTAACCTCTTGCGCTGGAACGACGTTGAGCCACGCACGTCGAGAATTTTTTTTTTTTTTTTTTTTTTTCCCAAAATTGCAACATTCTCTCAATTTTAAGTATATATTTATATGCACTTGTCTCAGTATTTGAATATACTTAAGGCAAAACGAGTAATAAATCAGTTAATGCTTGTTTTAAAATGGAAAGCGACAGTGAACTTATCGTTAGTGATATAATTCCGACAAGTTTGAAAGGAAAATGACAAATTACTGTATAGTGGGTAATTAAACGAAGACGATGTTCGTTACCCGAATTGTTCGTTGAGCAGTCATAGATGGCAGTGAAATACAGTTCTACAAATCTTACACGCAGTATCGTGGTGTGAGGTGTT